AGAATAGTATTGTGGACGTTGAGGTCCAAGCAAGTATAGGAGATAATAAAGTAAGACCTTTGATTGAATAAGACTACTGCTTATTCCAGAGGCTGAGGCCCAGAGTCGCTGGTGCCCAAAGGCAGACAATAGCCGACGTAGATTTGATCTCAGGGACTGGTCATTGAAACAGACAGGGCGTTGAGGCTCGCATTCAGGTCTGTAGAGCAAGTCCATCTGACAGAATCACAGAAAGTTGTAAAATCCATGATGTTAAGTAATTCAATGTCCACGCGAGTTGAGTAAGGCAGAACCCCTGCTACGGGGATGGTGAATTCCGCGACATCAAAGAATGCATCAAAGATTTTGGCAAAGACTTAGGGCGCTCTGCGGCAAACCCAGCAAGCAAGAAGGTATTTTACGTGGACCCCGATGCAGAAAGGCTTCCTGAGCCCAAGCGGAAGCTTTTGCATTCCCTTGTACAGAAACTACTGTGGGTCACAAAGCGATGCAGACCAGATATCATGGTCCCAATGGCGTTTCTGACAGGACGGGTACAAAAGGCCTCTGTAGAAGATTGGGGGAAACTCCGAAGGGTTCTCTTGTATTTGGACAATACAATAGACATGCCTCTAACAATCAAGATCGATGATTTAACGATAGTGAAGACATGGGTCAACGTGGCCTTCGCAGTACACGAAGATTTTAAGTCCCACACGGGAAACATGATTTCCATGGGCAAAGGCGCTTTATATGCACGTTCCATGAAACAGAAGCTTAATACAATGAGTACAACGGAGTTGGAAACCGTCGCTGCCAGTGACTGTCTTGGACAAACTATCTGGACTATGAACTTCCTGGAACACCAGGGCATATTATTATCAAGATAATGAAAGCGCGATGCGTTTGGAAAAGAATGGTAGACAGGGATACCCCGCAGAAGTGCGTGATTTACACGGAAAATGGTTGACGGGTCCGGGACACTGAGTCGCATGGAACCATCATCACAGAATTCCACTTCCATTCCTAAATAAGTGTGTTTCTTTCTGAAACTCTTCCGCATTGCTCCAAAACGATCTTCTAGTTTTTTAATTATGTCGTGCACCGCTTGTTCATTCTTCAACAAAATCTTTAAGTGGTCCACGTACCAGCAAATAGTGATTTTGGTTCCGCAGGAGAGCGTCTTGTTTGCCACACACAAATTGTACAGGTTCAGTTTGAATCCATCTTCAATGAGAAACTCCGACAACATGAGCCACCATAACATGACAGATTCAATGCACCCGTACAGTGCACGTTTCAAGCGTACGTATAGGAGTTTCTTGCCGGTTTTGGATATTTCGCGTACATTGGACATGCCTTCACAAGCATGTCTGCTAGGTCTCCTTTGAAAACCATAAGCACGAACTCGTCCATGAATGCGTGTAAGTACGCACCGTCAATGTCGCAAACGCTCACAAAACGTTTCTCATGTGCATTGATGCCAAGCGACAGTATCATTCCTTTGCAGGAGACAGTTGGAGAATACACGGAGTCAGGATCCGTCCATTCCCTCTGGGGGCAACCGTCTGCAACTACTCTACCCTTTAGTCGACTGTCATGTTTTTCTTTAATTAGGGCTATTGCTCGTAGGGCCTTCTCTCTTTGTTCTTGTGTCAGTTTGTTAAACAGTTTTCCTTCAATTTTCATGAAGATTGTGCGAAAGCTCTTTGACTAGCACAGCAATTGCCAGCTCACCATGCTTCTTTATTCCTGATTTTGCAGTCATTTGATTTAGGAGCACGTTAAATGTTTGGTAGCCTAACATTAGGTGCATATAACGGTGCACGCTTGCGGTGTTTTGTAGTTTCTCCGGAACGTAACGCCACCAGTACTTCCTGTCGTCGCGATACGCATTCTCTAGGAATTTTGCTAGCGCAAAGCGTCCGATTCGTCGAGGGACACTGCACAACAACTGTCGTTCTTTGGCCACATGTGCTAACGCCATATCATCGCGCTCATATACTATAGATGATGAATCGCTAATGACAAGACTGTCATTTTCTATTTGTTCCTCCATGTCATCATGGAACAGGGGTTGCTCTTCTGGAGGATCAAACGTTACCTCTTCTTCCAGGTGTTGCGCTCCTGTTTCTTCGCTTGGCTCAACTTCTAGATATTGCGCTCCTGTCTCTGCACTTGGTTCAACTTCTGCCGTGTCCCACAAAATGCTGAGGACTAACTTAGGCACAGTAGCAATTGAAAGAATGCTAAAGAGATATTATGAGATTAATGGAGAACTACTTCCCTGGGCAGAACGCGATAGCCATACTGACATCAGAAGAGAAGGTGTGTACTAGGTACACACAACTTCCACTGCAGTCTTGATAAGAATGTATTTGTCAGGCTGTCGCCACCTCATTGCCACATCACTGTAGGCTTGTAGCATAGGTAATAGATGTACTCAAGACTACTGTGGACATGCTGAGTAAAGGGGGCGTTTGTAGAAGTACTCATATCAGAGTAATCGATGTTCATTCAACTGATATGATTCAACTAGTTGGACTAATGTGAGCCACGACAACTTCATTCGCTCCTGCTTCTTCAGGGTCTTGCACTCCTATTTCTTCAGGGGGTAGGGGAAACTCCTTGAGGGCTTCTACGCACCGCCCCGTTTGATTAAAACGGTTGTTCATGCGTTCTATGGCCGCGGCGCAGTTGATTGCACGTTGCATGCACGCTGTGACGGTAGCTTTGGTGTTGTTTTTGTCAGTATCGTTATTGTTACGCAACGATGACAATGGGGCCTGCAGTAGCTGTGTTGACTCGTTTGGGTCCTGTTCTGCTGCGTCCTCCAGATCCGCCACCAAAAGCGCAGTCCCATTTTCGTTCTGCTCTTCTGCGTGCTCTTCTTGAGCATCTTCGTCACTAATATTTGGTTGTTCTAGGGCGTCGTCATCATCATCTTTGTCGTCATCATCGCCACTGTCAGCTTCATCGTCATCCTCACTGTCTTCATCATCTTCACTGTCATCAGCAGCATTGCTGTCTTTGGACGAGTTAGCTTTGTCGTCGTCGGAAGAGGCAGACGAATTGTCTTGGTCGTCGCTATCGGACGAATCGTCTTGGTCGTCGTTTTGGGGGACCGCTCCTCCAGGGGGAGGGAGAAACGCGACGTCAACCTGGTCATCATCCAAATTGAGGATGGGAACGTTCGGCCGCCACTCATGGAGGAAAGCATCCGGATCTGCATTGGCGTCCAAATTGCTAAGGTCGTGGACATGACGGATAACGTCCGTGGTCGTCGGTAGGACAGTCCATGCACGATGGACGACAGTGCAACCGGTTTGGAGGGAGAGGAACTCCCAGGTACCATCGAAATTTGGGGTGGGGGTGAGAGCAATCCCGGAGGTCGTACGGACGGTCTCTGTGTTCGTTGGATCAGGCTCGTCATGGACTTCGCAGTATGTCCCGACGCGAAGCTTATCACACTCCTTAACAGTGGGAATGTTCCGCTTGGCTTCGGGAACATGTGCTCCTGGAGCACATATATGCACGTCCACAGAACCGTATGTAGTGGCTCAAACTCAGGATCAGCGTGTAGAGGGCGGACAGTGAAGCCCTGGAGCCCATATTTTTGAAACACTTCTTAAGTAGAGGGAGATTGCAGAACGTCAAAGAACACGTAACGAAGATTCCGCGAGACGGGATGCTATCGACAAAGAAGATATCGGCACACATAATTATCTGACTATTAGCTCTAAGTATGGAGTCCGGTGGCAGAATTCGTCTGCCGGATGGAACGGCATTTGGTCGCCTGCGAACAGTTTTCCCATGAATTGCATGGACGTCAGGTCCATATGCACGGATCATGTTCTTTGCATCTTCTTCTGTTATTGCTTCTGTTATTGGCATGTCCGGTATCTGATGATACTTTAGCATGCGTAGGAAGTTCTCAAAAGATGGTCGCCCTACGTCAGCATAGACCTCGCAAGCCCTTGCAATTCACATTTGTTGACGTGCAGAGAAAGCTTTTAGATTCTCAGCTACCGTGGCATTAAGTATTTTGTGTGTTGGGCGTTCGATGCTTGACAAAACTTTTACGCTCTCGGGGAAACGCTTTTATTAAACGTCTCACTTAAATCGCCTTCTGGATCGAAATAGAATAGTCCGGTCCCGGAGGGGCGGAAATGCACCTTTCTGCGCGTTCGACCAGTACCATTGCATAGGCAATGCACTGTGAAGCTACGTGACTGACAAGAGTTCAATGTCGTTCCACCAGATGTATGAATGGTCGTCGGTTGTCGTGCTTCTGGTATTCCTCGTAGGTAGAGAGCATTGCAGAAAATTGTAACTTTGCTTGCCGTATCCAGTAGGATCCACGCCAAGTTGATCAACCATGCATATTTTGTACTCGTCAAACAAATTTCGTTCTCCGGACGACTATGGTCTATTTCCAAATAGGCATTCAATTCATTGCTACTGTTATTACTATTTTTCTTGTGCTTCCGAACGTATTCTCCACGCATCGTGTATGCGTACGCAAGTGTTTTGGGATATCAAACTAGTTTTGACAATGCGTCGTTCCGCAAATCCGTCACACAATCTCCGAACCGCTTCCTGTCGGCATTGGCCAAAAACAGGCACACTAGCAATGCTTGGTTGGTTGATGCAGTTGTGCCGTTCGCAGTCGTCCAGGTGTCCTCTTTTGTTGTCAGATCACCTCCAAGACTGTTAAATGTAGCGTACCGTGCCTTGAATTCGTTGTAGTAGTTGTCCAGTGTGCCGTTGAGCTGCTTGTATTACTCTAGGTCTAGGGGAGTGCCTCCGCTCTTGCTTGGGGCTGGAAAGCCGATAGGTTGCCTCCTCCACATAGAACATTCGCATTTTCAAGTAGCGCAATGCAATCGTGGGGTAACTGCTGTAGATGGGCTTGTAGCTTATGAGAACACTGGGCCATGATGGTGCTCCAGATCTCCAGCTTGGCAGGAGGCCAAGTAGCTCCAATGTGTTTGGCGTAGGCTGCTTTTCAGACTCATAGAGTAGCAAAGCCTTCACATAATTCTTGTTGGTTGTAGGCTTGATGAAGACTGGAGATTCCCATGATGGGTCCATCTCCTTCACGTAGGTCTTGGCCCATAGCTTGGCAGCACCCACAGAAACCTCTTGGCCAATGTAGTCCTTCAACGCCATGTAAAATCGTTCATATTGGGCGGCGGATCCTCGATTCCTTTCGTCTGGAAACTGGAGCACCGCACCACCCATCTCTTCAATATCTCCCTTGAAAATCTCCTTTTTCCTCTTATTGTCGTTTCTGCCCACATTGTTCGCAGCTCCAGGTCTTGGCTGATCATTGCCTCCGCTTGTGCCAGCTGTGGAAGTCTGAGCAGCAGTCATATTCTGACGGGTTCGTCTGATGAGGAGAGAAATAAACGTCAAGACAAAATAAAAGTGTCACTAAAACGGATGGCTCCCGCGCGCTGTTCCTTCACCTCGTCCGCCACACTGTAATGCTCTTAGGCTTGCGCCCTGAAAGGTACTGGATCTAGCCAGGTCCCTATGGATGGTGAGTCAGCAAGCAGTGCTGTTTACGATTGACTGTGCCCGTGGGCAGAGTAGGTAACCAACCGTTGGTTCGTCAACAAAAAAACGTTTTTCAATCCAGGTAATGTTGGAGGCCAATTTCTGGCTGTATGGCTCTCCTACTGGGAGAGCTATAATACACAGACAGGCCTATGCCTCTAGTCTAAAAAGGATAAAAGGACTTTTATTTGAATGTTAATTCCAGTATCTAATTGTTGTTACCTGGATTGAATGAGCATTGCAGCTCATGCAATCCAGTGGCTACTTCTATTTACCAATTTACTAGTTTTTCATGCACGGGACCAAGCGACTCTGGTCTGGCAATTCCACCAGCGAAGCCGCGAACGCGGTCTGCCCATGTCACCGTTGGTCTGGCCATTTGGGTCATATTCTCGCCGTTGGTACGTTGTCCGCCAGCTCCAAAAATACTACTTCCAACTGCTTGCAGCTTGTATCTTGGCATGGTGAGGCTGCAGATCAGTGGTGTTGTGCCTAGCTGTCCGTGGGAATGATGCCAACATTTGAACATCCATAAAGGGAAATCAAATTGAGGCATCTGCCAACCGGCAGAAGGCTGATGGAAGAGACAGCACTTTCCTTGCAATAGTAGGTCGCCAAGGGTTGGATTGTTGCAATAGGTGTGCTTGGGGGACCTTTCAAATTTGTCAGCATAATGCTGGAAATGTTTATCCTCAAAAGCATCTTGGAGGTCCATTGGAGATGGTGCTCGGGCACTGGAGACCTTTCGGATGGCCTTGTCTTCCTTATCATCGGAAACTGATTTGATGGCACCGCAAGAATCATAAGGAATGCCCAAAAAGGGTGCAAAGAATGGGCAAGATTGGACCATTTTTGCTTGTTCTTTTTGGACCAAATGACTTCTGAAATAGTAGATCTCAAAAAATGCAGGTCTCGGTTTTCGCACAATTTTTTTTTTCACATGAAATATGTACGCAAACAAGTCCCAATCGAAAAAGGATTGACAACGTTACAATAGCTATACTGTAGGGAAGGATTGGAGATCAATAACTACAAGTTGAATTCATTCCGATTCTGAGATACAATCAATACATTGTTACTAAGTAAGAGGTAAGCTATACTGCTGTTGCTGGTGCTGGAGGGTTGATCATCTCTCCTTCTTTCCTAGAAAGCCCAGTGGGAGTTTCACTGTAATCTTTTCGGATATCACAATGAATGCCATTCTCTATCTTGTTTCCAACAAAATCGTTGCCCCCTTTCAATGCAAGGAAATGTCCTCCAAACGTCCTCTGCTGCATCCCAAATTTCGTCCTGTTTCAAAACATGGAACACTCCCCTCTCTCTCGCGGCTGCACAATGACGTCTTGACATGCAGGGGAACACTGTCAAGTCTAATTTGTTCATATGAGTCGGAATATATATTCCAATGCGACACGTGTGATACTCCACAACATGTGTCATATACAAACAAAAATCCCACGATCCACATTTTCGTGTGAGACCAAAAATTCACATACTCAACACAAGCCGTTGAACTTTTGGTGTATCAATCTTCATGTGATTGTTTGAACACATTGAAATAAGCGAATAGTTAACACAATGAATGGCAGTTGAACCTATGAACACGGAGTCTAGCAATCGGAGACGTCGCTAAACTCAACAAGTTCTCACTGCCATATCGTCACAATTTTAGTAAATCTGCACTTTTACATCAAACTATTGTCTCTCAAGTTTTATACTTCTATCAAACTACTTCGCTCCAAATACATAACAGCTCTGTCTACAGATATTTTCTGACTATATGCGGCATTTGTGGAGCTTGCGGTTCCCAGTGCCAGCCACGTTGTTCACATTAAGCCTTGCACCAATTAAAGTATTCTTTTTCAGCATGCGGCCCTGCATTGTCACCTTGAATAACAGGAATGTACACTTCATATTGACGTCCTGTCGCCACAAGACCATCCAAATTTTGAAAGATGTGATGCTCAAACAACTTCTTCAGTGCAAACTTTGGATCATCAGGGGTCCCTTCTGACGATCCAGTGACATTACAATCCACCAAGTACAAGCAGTCGCAGCAATTCCCATGACCTTGGAGACATGTGATCGGTGATATGCTTTATAGGAGACTGCATCTCCTGGATAAAACCATGTCCGGCCGGACGATTCATCCCTGGACGAAAATCAGCTCCAACTTTCACATAATCCTGTAATGTGAATGGAGCCCTCATATTATCCTCAACAACAAATCCACCCTTGCGTTCTGGGCGTTTGGTGAGGGCGGCGTCAGTCTCTGGCATGTTGCGGATCATTTGAATATTTGCAGCGCGCACGAGCACATGATGAGCCTTGTCTCTAGTTTGCCTCATCTGAAACAGTTGCCTGGTGCTTTTGGGTGTCATGGAACTTGTCCTATATTGTCCAGTACTTCCCCCTTAATGCTATAGCAAAATTCCCTTAATTGACCGTTTAATTGGGTAAAAAGGACAAGGACACCGTGTTTTTTATCACCACCCCATGTGAAGCCTATGTGATAGATGAGAACCCCTTGTCCTTTTTATGACAAGGAAATTGTCTTTTTGAGGAAAAGAACC